CTAGCTGTGAAATGCTATGAGGCCCCCGGGACTGGCAGCCTCCCTTCTTCAACTGCTAGTGATGGCACCTGCAAAAATCAGCCAATCCTCCATAATCCAGGAGTTGCAACTACTAACAAATAAAAATCAAACACACTTAATCCAAGTAATGTTATTTGTGATAACAGAGAAGGAATCAGTTACAAAAGTAATGTTTCAACAACCACTTAATTTATTTGCTTGCAACCTTTCCACCTGAATATAAATTGTATTAACAAAAATATCTACACTAAAAAATGCAAGTCCAAGAAATGTAGTTTGAAACCCAGAATGCCAGTGGGCTTTATGCACAAGATAATAAGTGTGTCAGATATTTAGCCTTTCATTTAAGTAGAATTAGTTGTATTTGGTGTACAGTTTCCCCCACTCTCCCTCCCTAAGTACAGAACCAATTCCAGAAGTCAGAAGATTCAAACTAGAACAGAGGGCAGCAGCCTCCAGTTTCCCAATCATGTACAGGAAGTACTGGAAAGTTTAAGTAATGCCTGTGTCACTACTTGCAAAAACAGATCCTTGTTCTTTAATTTTTATTTTATTTTTTTTTAAACTTAGGCACTTTTGAAAATTTTACCCAAAAAGTAAATGAGCCTACTGACAAACTGACAACATTTAAAGCTCCCTAAACATGCCATAGTCAGTAAAGGGCACATGAAACTAGGCACAATGAAGGACAGTCTCTTCAGCTTCCACCTCTTTCCAATCTCCTTTTCCTTGACAAGGATCACAAGAATATTCAACCAAATTCCAACATTAACATTCACTGACATCCTATACCCTTCAATCAGGCTTAAATTTAAGATGTGACATCTTAGCATACTCTGACTACTGGCAGAGATTACAAAATGGCACAAGTTCCATTGCCAACTACATGCTCATAACATCAGCTTTATCTCAACTTCTTACCAGAAGAAATCACTGCCCTCGAAGACACTGTGATGCTTTTAAGAGATCAGCACCAGAATGAAAAAGAGCTGACTCAAACTGAACGTAAACAAGACAGAACTCACAATACTGAAAAGGGAAAATGCATGCTGAAAAAACTACAAGACAATGCCACTTCCACCACAGCATTTGATCTATATTTGTTAATACAGCACAAGTCCCTGAGGTCCTACTGGACTCATAATTAATTATGGATATCCAGACAGAAACAGTGGTGAGAAAACCCTCCTGTTTCCAGTTCCTATGAAATTATGTTCTTTCCTGTAGGATGAAATTCTGACCATACTGATTTGTGCAAGTCACCTCTGGATTGGATTATTATAATTCACTGTGTTTGTGGATGAGGGTGTAGGCAATGTAAAATCAATCTTACACAGACTTTACTGTCCTTAACAAGAAAGGCCCATGAAAAAATATTACGATGGTGGTGTGCCGCAACGACACATTCCCAGTTCACTTCCAGTAGGAATTCAAAGCTCTGGTTTTAGTCTTTAAGGCCCTCCATAGACAGGGCCTAACTACAGAGTTTAATTCACAACCAGTTTCATCCGCAACCAAACACAGCTGCACTCCTAAGGAACAATGCAAGCATTTCTCATATTGACGTTTACAATATCCAGAGAAAAGTACTCAATCCAGTCTGCCTCTCCACCTCAGTAGAACTGCCTTCCAGAAAACAAGGCTGAACCTGAGTTTTGCTGTTTTCATAAACATGTTACTAAGCCACTTTTTTGCAGTCATAGCCACAAAGATGAGGATTACAAGAAAAGAAAAAGTATGCAAAGCTGGGAAACCCCAGAGAGGTGAAGAACAAAGTTCACTATGGACAACTCTATGTAAACATTACTGTAACTGACACCAATAAGTAATAGACAAGGTGGGTGAGGTAATATCTTTTATTGGATCAACTTCTATTTTATTGAACGGTGGTAAGTGATATCTTAAAAATACTTAAAGTGATCATTACTGCTCTGCTTTAGTTGTCAAGGCATTCTTTATTTTAATTATGCACTTAATTCTGTATTACATTTTGCTTAGTAGTAGCAAACAAAATAATACAGGGTTCTATATTAAGAACTGAGGAAAACAATGTCTAAGAGGCAGATAGTGGATATACTAGAGAAAATTGTGATAGAAAGTCACTAGATATAAACAATGAGCTCAATTATTTTCATTTTATAGCAGCATCTGTATAGTAAGAAAAAAACTTGTCTGAAGAATGAGAGGGTGAATATTTTGTAATAAAGTTAATATTTTGCCAACCTAGTTCATGCAGCAAATGCAAGCAAGGCCTTTTTATTTCTCTTCAGCTGGGTCCTTCTAAGGCTGAGGACATTCAGGATGTCTGCCTATTAGCATCCTAGCAGTGTCTTGGCACACAGAGCCTAGACTTGATTCACAATATTACAAGACACTTACAAGTTTCAAGTTTCTCCAGCTTATTACTATGTGATATAGCCTCCAAACTCAAGTCCCTGTGCAAATCTAACAGGGCTAAATCAAGAGCCCAAATTATGGAAAAACTGGTGAGACCATTAATTTTCTCTTGTATGTTTCATCTGTTCTGGGTTCCATTATCACCCAACTGATTTTTCTTTCGGTCCATTAATTCAGCCCAGATAATAGGAACATGTACATGTTCTCAGAGTGTGAACTATCATAACCAATCTTTATGAAGAACAGAATAGCAGCACTATTGGACAACCACTTGAAAACAATCAATGGTTGCAGTATTAAGAATGACAGCCATTATATTTGATGTTAAATGTCACCAAATTCCCAGAATTAACATAGTACTCTGCATTTCTCCAGGAAATCTTTAATATACAGTTGGGCCCACCAAATGAAAAAATAAGAAAATCTGCTTATGGCTGATCTTAGATATCTCTCTCCTAGTTGCCTAACATCCACTGCCACAGTATCTGAGTGCACCATGGTCAATCAGTCTGTTTATTTTCATAACACCCTGTTAGGTAAGGAAGTGCTATTAACACCATTTTACAGATGGGAAATGGAAGATAGATTACATGATTTGCCCATGTCACACAGGAAGTCTGTGGCAGAGATTGAACCTGGATCTCCCAAGTCCCAGGCTAGTGCCCTAGCCACTGGACCATCTTTCTTCTCCATTTGCAGGCTAAGGATCCTAAATGTCACAACCATACAATAGGTTGCTTCTTGCCTTGTTTATATAATAGATACATCTACAATTACTTGAAGACCATGTTGCCCCCATTTCCACCCTTATACACACTCCAACTAAGTCACTTCTTCCACCCCTACCTCTGCCTCTATTACCACTGCTTGCATTTTGTCTTCATCGTGCAAAATGTATGGGTTTTTCTTTATGCCGTGTCCAGGCAGGAAAACTATAGAATGCCAGGTCAGCATTTTAGATTCATCTTATCAATGTGGAACACTAAGGTAATCGTTACAGCTGCAGAAGGGGGCACCAGCTTTTTGGTTATCATGGATTCCTAGAGTTCTAGTCATCTTCAACTGCAAGCAAAGTTGAATTTCTTCCGGCCATGGAATTTTCATTTTGTGCAGTTCTGATTGTGAAAAATCATACTGCCTCTCATCTAGTCTGTATATATGTAGCACAAGCCACAATCCCATATCCAAGCAAATTAGATATACTCAAAGAATGATAAAGTGTTTCAATGATCCCATTAGTTCATCAGTATCATGGAGGAACATTAAAGTGACACTGTCAGGCAATTTCTTCTAAGAGTTCTACCTAAGTTAGCACTTTAGTGTTAGTTTTGTTTATTTAACACATTGAAAATCTGAGTGACATTTGATCAACAATGACTAATTCTGTGCTCAGGAGTTCTCATGAACTTGCAGTGTTTGGTTGCAAACGTTTTAAGAAGAGTTACCATTGTGCTTAATATTAATCCAATTCCCAAGGTCACACAAAGAACTCAAAGAATTCAGGCTTCTCTCTAACATGCTCTCCTCCTCCCCCACCTTTTCCCTTTATCAGACACAGCAGAGTATGTGTGTTTGCCTCTCTCTGACACACACAACCCCTCCCTTGCCATCACCCTCAGCCACACAGTTTTCTTTTCATGATTCTTTTCACCTCACCTTTGGTCTTCTCAAAGATCAGGGACAAAAGCTCTGTCTGCACATGTTACACTTGTCTAACTAACAGATTTTTTTAAAACAATTTAGACTGGCACAAACACCCTGTGTGGGCAAAATTAAAGTGGCCTATAACTGACATTGATTTCGCTTAGTTCAGTAACATCCTGAATTAAGCTAAATTGATATAACCCTATTGTAAAGTAGATTTAAGTGTGTCCACGGAGAATGGTTGGGGGATGAGGGGGGTGTTGTACCTGTTTAAACCAAATTAAAGACAGAGTTCAGTTCCACTACCACAACCTTTGCTCTGGAACAAGGCCAGAGTCTTCCTCCTGAACCCACACTGCACTCCTTTGCATTGGCTAAAATGACAACTAAAGGCTTGGAATAACCCCCACAACAATCCAGGTTTTACCCACACAACCAGGAACTAGGAAGGAGCCGTCATGCAATGAGACTGTCACCCTCACCACAAGTCAATAAGAAAAAAGCCCCAGGTCGCCGCAGCGCTTGGAGCTCTCAAAACAAGCATGCGTGGAGGGGGCAGAAGGACAGGCCAGAAACCCACTCACATAGAGACATCACCATCACAGAAACCCCGAGTCCAAGCCCACCCATACAGACTAGTTTGCCCCCTGACTGTACAGGCTCCCAAAGACACCCCATTTAACGTAAGGGAACACAGTCCCCTTCCCCATACAAATCCTGCCCCTCCCAGCATAACCCCCGCTACAATCGGCCTCCCCACGTCAGCACAGCCGCCCCCCAGCAGCCCCTGCTCCCCCAGCAGCAGCTCCCCCAGACCGGGCCCCCTCCCGGGGCGGCCCCCGCGCTACCCCCGTCTCAAGCGCGACTCCCCCCCCCGTTCCCAGCACGGCCCCGCAGCCCCCCCCCAGTTCCCAGCACGGCCCCGCGGCCGCACTCACAGTTCCTGATGTCGGAGATGAAGACCGCCAGGCCCCGCATCCCGTCTCCCTTCGACACGGCCGGCATCTTGGCCCAGCAGCTGAGCCCGGGGCCGTCAGCAAAACGGAACCGCTACAACCACCACCTCCTCCGCACTCGGGCTCTTCAGCCTCCGCCTGTCTGCGCAGGCGCGCGTGGGGCCCGCCCGCCGGCCCAGCAGGCAAAACAAGGTGGTGGGGGGAGGGAGGCTGTGAGATAGGGGCCCGCAGCGCCCCCTGCTGCGTGGAGACGGGGAAGGCGAGTCAAGGAGGGTTATTTAGTTAATAACTAGGGCTGTCAAGCGATTAAAAAAATTAATCGCGATTAATCGCAGGATTAAACACATTAAGTACAATTAATCACGCTGTTAGTAATAGAATACCATTTATTTTAAATATTTTTGGATGTATACTACATTTTCAAGTATATTAATTTCAATTACAACACAGAATACAAAGTGTACGGTGCTTACTTTACATTTATTTTTATTACAAATATTTGCCCTGTAAAAAAGAAAAAAATTGTATTTTTCAATGCACTTCATACAAGTACTATAGTGCAATCTCTTTATCTTGAAAGTTGAACTTACAAATGTAGAATTATGTATAAAAAACTGCATTCAAAAATAAAACAATGTAAAGCTTTAGAGCCTACAGGTCCACTCAGTTCTACTTCTTGGTCAGCCAATCGCTCAGACAAACAAGTTTGGTTACAATTTGCAGGAAATAATGCTGCCTGCTTCTTGTTTACAATGTCACCTGAAAGTGAGAAAAGGTGTTTGCATGGCACTGTTGTATCTGGCATTGCAAGATATTTAGATGCCAGATGCGCTAAAGTAGGGTTACCATATTTCCACAAGCAAAAAAGAGGACACGGGGGGGGAGGAGCCCCACGCTAGCCCCACCCCTGCCCCACCCCACTTCTAGGGTGACCAGACAGCAAGTGTGAAAAATCAGGACAGGGGTGGGGGGTAATAGGAGCCTATATAAGAAAAAGATCCAAAAATCGGGACTGTCCCTATAAAATCGGGACATCTGGTCACCCTACCCACTTCCCACCCCCTGATTGCCCCCCTCAGAACCCCCAACGCCCCCCGCTCCTTGTCCCCTGACTGCCCCCTCCTGGGACCCTTGCCACTAACTGCCCCCTAGAACCCCACCGCTTATCTAAGCCGCCCTGCTTCTTGTCCCCTG